GGTATTAAGAGAATTCATTGCGGGAATTCTCAAATGACTGGCTCGTCGGGTATCATGGGGAACTAAAGGTTAACCTTTTGGGTTTATATAGGGGTTACATAGGGATATACTGCCCGAAAAAGGTTAAAGGTTACCTACTCTACTACTAGGCCAATCAATGGTCAGCAAGCTCTGAGTATCAAGGAACAGGAAATTGGAGCAAAAACAAGGGACTTGGAGGCTTATGAGTCGATGAGGGCTCAACAGGTCGATGTCTTTGAGGAGCTCTACCGAAGCCCTATGAAGACATTGTGGTCGAGGAGTTTCTCGAGAACTTGCCCGGACCAGTGATCGAAGAAGTCCCAGAACCTCCGGTTCCAATGGACACATCTGGCTCGGCCAATGACCCGCCAGCGGACTTACCACAGGGTAAGATGGCTGGTGGGGACACGAGTGCGCCCATGGAAACTGATGCCCCGCAAAGCTCCACAGTGAGAGGCATCTGGGATCAAGGTCGAGAAAACCGAAGGCTCTTCACATGAAGAGGGATCGGACCCAACCAAGGACGTGCACCTGGATGACGCTGGCGAGTCCCATGACGGCGAGCAGGCGAAGGAAGGCTCACCACAGTGTGAGGAATCCATGCCTGATATTTCTCCCGATAAAAGATGTCAAAGATGATGAAGATGAAGGACATGACCAAGGCATCTGGGGGAAAGCTAAGAAATAAAGTCGTGGACCCGAAGAAGTTCGCTGAAGCCACCAGGACTGCCTCCTCCGCGGAGACAGAGAACGAAAGAGCATTCGACAACCTGGAGGCTCAGAAGGAGAAACAAGGACTTCTCGCGACTCCGGAGTTCGCCGAGTATTGGGCGAAGCACCATTCTATTGAGCGATCGAGCCCGCTTCTGCAGTTGGCCGATCAGCGGCAGGGCTACGGCCAGAATGGCCTTTACCATGATTCGTTGAGGACGGATCATGTCGGAGCGGTTGGTTCAGCACATGAGGTGGCGTGTTCGGCATCCTCCACACTACCAACAGAAGTATGCTCTCAGCGAAGCAGAGCTCTTCGACTCGTTGGTGAAGATGGATCCGATATACACTCGCCGTCCATCCGGGAACGACGTGATCTTCAGAGCCGGAGACGTGCGATCTACACTTGATGATCGCCAGATGGAAAAGGCTTGCGACGTCCGCGCTTCAGTGTTCGAGGTGATGTCAGGGCTTATCGAGAAAGTCAAGGAGCTTGACGTCCAGCGCAACCCAGCCACGAGGGAGGAGCTGATGAATTCTCTCCTCAGGTGTGGATGAAGATGAGATCGGGGACTTGTCACTGGACAAGATGCCGTATTTGGTTTTGCTGAAGACGCACCTGTTGCGGTGTACACAAGCAAATCAAGCAAAACAAAGTATGCCGCGTAGGTCGTCAACCTCGGCGACTTCTCCCGTGGCCGCAAGCAGTCAGCTCCCAGAGCGTTCTCAGACGGTATCGACTGGGACTCCACCGGAACGAGCCGCGGTGCCTTGATCAAGTCCATCGCTCAGGCCATGGCTCACCTGTTTCTGCTCTGCGAGGACGTGAAGATCAACGATGACGAGATGCAGTTCTCTACAGTCGGTGATGGCAAACAATCCGCAACAAAGGCGGAGATCTTCTTGTCGGTTATCGACTATGGTACAGTTGGCAGGCTCGACACTGGTCGGGGTAGCCCACCATAATCTCCAATGCTCATACATGATTGTTGAAATCAAGTACGGCAAGACCCTTCCTACAGCACAGAGTGGCAACCGAGGAGATTTCGCGGATGCTTATCTGACAGCACCGCTGACCAGAGCCGGCAGCTCTTCCATTAGAGTTTGCGCCTTTGGTGTTGCTGGTGATAAGGTGTCCCTCCCACGAAGCACTTGCTACGATTTTTGTGGATTGCCTGAAGTATCAGGTGGATCTCATCGGAGGAGATGCCAGTATGGCAACCTACCGGGCATCGGGCAGGAAACAGGGTTCCGCCGACAACTTCTTGGAGGCATGGTCCGAGAGCGAAAAGTGTATTCCGCGATGCTGTCCAACAGTACAACATGTGATCTCTCTGCTTGCTCAAGCAGTATGATGACCAGTTCGGCCGCCTGCACAAGGACTGGATTGGAACACTTTTCCTGGCTTGGACCCGATGATCGCTACAGAAATGAGTTGGGACATTCTATGTCCCATGATAAATGGAACAATTCGCCGAGGGACACAAGGAGTTCATGTTTCAGAGTGGGACCTCAACTCTTCTTCAGCCGCCTACATGCTCAACGACCGGGACACCGATAACCACACTCCTCTTCTCATCGAGGTTCACGCGAACCAATATTCGGGAAGCCGAATGAGGGCTATGAGTCGGAATCCTGCTACGGTCAAGGATTCAGCGGACAGGGGGAAGGCGAGACGGAAGCTGAGGAAGGCCGCCGGGTCATCAGCCGACCCGGCACCAGGCGCAATCTCGGCTCCAAAGGTTCTCAACGTCCTCCAGAACACGCATATCCTCCAAAAGGAAAGCATGGTGGCAAATCCGGCGAGAAGGGAGGCAAGTCCTCCAAAGGCAGAGGCAAGGGCAAAGGAAAGAACTGACTAAATTCTGACTCCGAGTCGGAATCACCGGTCTTCGGACCTGCGCCTGGTGTTCCTCGGCAATATCCTGATCCTTGTCCTCGACTACAACGTGCTGTCATCTTTCAGAACTCCACTTACCGTTGGGTTGGCGATGGGACTCGGGACCGTGCCTGGGACGATGATACTGAGACGCTTGATCGAGTTCTTACGCTCTTCACGGAATGCTTCTCACAGGAGAAGGTATCCTAGTAGTGCAATTTCAGATCTTATGAAGATGCCTTGCACTTGAAGGGGAACTTCTTATGCCCTTTGTCACAGACATGTAGAGATACTTTTCACAGGAAAAAGGAGAGGTAACTGATCAAGCTGTCTCCAAGAAGAGCATGTGCAGGCAGCGGTTGTATAGTTTGTAGAGATTCCACATTTGTAGCTCAATGTCACTCCGCTCATAACTCATTCTTGGGCAATAACAGGCACTTGTCTGGGGACGCTGATGAGACAAGTCTTTTGCTTCATGCCCTCCAAAACACACGGTTCCTGCATGTGACCGCAAACGGACTCAATTCCAGCAGACATGTCACTAATCCAGTGCAGCGGGGCATAACTCTTACTTGCTTTAGCTGTAGCTCTGGCATCGTACCCGCCCAACCCATCCTCTACTCTGCCCCCGAGATGTAACCTGGGCGTGTATCCCCTCGCAAGGCGTACAGGAACACAGGCAAACACAGGGGTCTCCTTTACTACAGGCGCACAGCTGTAGATCAGTACTCTGCTAGAACCTTGAGCCACAGGCATGGATACATGCAAGTGATANNGACAGGCACCTGGATGTGTAACATTCAGTGTTCCAACCAAAAAACACGTAGATCTACATGGCCGTGAAGTCGGCACTGCAAGCGACCAGCTCGACTGCTACTTGCACTCAACATTTCCTTGTGCGTACGGTTCTAGTCTATGAACTGTGCGCAGTCAGGAGGCTGGGATAGGCTGGCCCAGAAAGTGGGACAAAGGCGCCCAGCCGTTCGAGAAGTCCATCAGGAGCAGTCGGTCAGATGGAATGGTGGCCTCCCGTAGTGCGTGTCAGGAACATTGAGGATGCCCAAGCTTCATGTTCACGACTGACTTGTGACAGTTTGTGATTGTTGACAGGCCAGATGAACAAGTCTAGTTGCACTTCTTTGTCCACAAAGCACCTGCAACTCCGTCGAGCTACGAGATAACCTGCGGGACCATGTATCAACTCTGAAAGCGACTTGAATCGACGGCCTAGAAGAGTGTCGTAACACTCACTTTCGTACATGTCCGTTCCCCAAGGCACCTGCACCTTGTCGATGTGTTGACGGTAGGAAGCGACACACCGAGCTCGGTCGGGCTTCCCGGTGAGGTTCCTTTGGAGTGGGGGCTTAATGGACCCGCGCTTCCACACGACGTGCCATGTCAGTCTTTGATCGTTTATGGCTTTCGCACCTGCAAAACTGCGATGAAGCAAGGCCACATCGTGTGACAAGCGGCTAAGCGGCTGGAACGACGGGGTTGGTTGCAAGCACATGTGTGAATAATCGCCTTTCTGTTGCCGAGCTTCTTGCCAACACCTTCCGAAACCTTCAACGCCAAAGTGGTGTGCAGATTGAAGTGATCCGAGTCTGCAGGAACTGCAGTCACTCGCGCGAGCGTGACAATGGCAAGAAAAGCGCAAGCCAAACAAAAACAACAAGATCACCGAGAGTTGAACAGCTATGACCATCCACCCATCCCTGCATCGAGCTTTAGTGCCAAGAGCTTCTCCTGATGAGACAACCCGCAGTATGTTCATCCCAGGCGCAGAAAATCGCAACCCCAGTTGATGCAGCCACTGCAAGTCCTGTTGACCGGGCCAGCTTCCTTTGGGTCTGGGAGGTAGCGGTACAAGATGAACGGATGATCGTGTGTGTCTACTTAGAGTTCAAGCTGGATGCCATTGGAGACTAATTCTTCTGCATCCCCTCGGAAGGTTTCCAGTCGGGTGATTAGCCGCTGCCTTCTCAGACCCTGCATGGCACTTGGAATCTTGGTGTTGTCGCTTATTTGCTTCCAGTCTGCGAAAGCCTCTGCTGGGAACCAAATGAGGGCTTACGGCTTACGGCTTACAGCAAACCTTGAAGTCTGCTCGTCCCCAAGTCCTCATCGACGGCCGCTGAAGGGTCATGGCTGCCAAATAATCGAAGCCAGACAGTATGCGATGTGCTGACTTGGCCTGCGCACTGAGTGGGCGAAAAACTGTCGGTGGGAGTGTGAGCAGAGGCCAAGCGCTCGCAGCTTGCAGGAGAATGTGCAGGCCGCCAGTAGCTTAGAATACAGAATAAGTCTTATCTGAAAGGCCGTCTTCCTCATGCTTGAAGAAGAGGGGCCAAAAGCTACTATGCAAGAGTTTGGAGCCTGCCAATCGGACACTCCAGGTGAGAGCACGTTTGTTCGAAATACCCAGCAGCAACTTCTACCTATGCAGGCCGCAGTTTGAAAAGAGTCCGACAGACCATCAAAAAGAAAACAAACCAACGAAGCGAAAGGACCAACTAAAATGGCGGAGGACCTCTCTCAGAAGTCATGCAGTTTCTTCCTTTCTTCTTTGCCTTGTCCGCCGGGACGGTGCTGATGAAACCTCTACCGTGGTGCCTCCGCGGAATGTACTAGTGGAGGTGAACACCACTTCCAATTTGCTGCGCCCGCTACGCTCCGGGACGTAGCGCCCGAATGCCACGAGGCAACGCGATCGTGAAGATGATGCCGATTGGCTGCTGCAAAGTTTTGGTTGACATGCCTAACACCCCTGAGAAACCCCTAAAAGGGCTGTTTGAGCGGGTCCCTTACATTAAGGTCTTGCCATCCTGGGGCCCGGAGATTTGTGGCAGCACATGTCATGGCCTCAGAAAACGAACGAGGAGACCGCGTTTGCCTCTGCCTATCGCCAGGATCGGTTGCAACAGTTGGGTTTCGAAAGAGCTCGCGATTGCGTGTTGCCAAGCTGCTGTTCAGAGTAAATCGCTACATCTTTTGCATCTGGTCTGCAGCGACTCAACGCTACATCTACCCAATGGAACTTCATGCATAACTGCCGAAGCTGCTGTAACATCGCCGATCGTCACACCCAGTATAGTTATCGGCTGTAGCGGCATTGCCATAGGTTCCGGCTCAAGCTCATGCAGTGTTCATTCAAACGTACATACGTACATATACACACATGTATACATATAGCACCTCAAGCTTTACAGGGGTGTATGCGCATGCACATACATACATACATGCTACACACACACACATATATATATATATATGTATGTATATGCAGGCCCCCCTCAGTTATCTACCTTTTCCGTGGCTTTCCAGGGCACGTGAGGGCGCGTATTCCCAAAACTCGGGGTCGTATTCAGTTTTTAATGCGAACCCGTGTTTATCGGCTCTGGCACTGTGCTGTGAGGATTGTCTTCATCTACGCCAGCTGCAGGATCGCTATTCTCCTCACCAATAAGGTTTCCCGGTGAGGGCTGCATGTAAGCTGAGTTGTCACGTTAAAATCAAGCTTCCGGGAAATGCCTCGGGGCCAGAATGACCATTCATGATATTCCTGCAGTTCAGTCTCATGGTTTGCATTTGGGTAGTCTTTGCGTGGAAGGGGGGGCATCGATGGTCACATCAGAGTCGCCATTGCGACCACTATCAGGGCCAAGGTCCGTTCTTAGTGGTTAGTGTTAAAGTCGACGTTGTTTAGGATGAGGAAGTACTTCAATTTCACTTTGGTTCTTCAGGTTCCTCTTGGAGCTTGATCTCTAGTCTGCACGTAAATATCAGAGTTGCAGTTGGAGCTGATATGGGGGCCGATGTTGAGCTTGGGGGAAAAGCGTAGGCTGTAGTGAATAATGCTGAAACGTAGAAGAGACTTGGGGGTTGCTGTTGAAATTCGTTACTCAGTCAAACATGTGGGGCCTCAACAAGGCTTCAACATCCTTACTGCTGTTGCAACCAGTATTAATCTACCAAGTGGGAATTATGTTGCGGGCCAGCAGCAGTGTTTATCTTCAGCCATTTTCAATAGATTTCAGTGAGCACACACGGAAAGCAAAACTAGATGTTATCGTGGACACCAGAAAGATGGGCTTTCACGCTGGCAATATTAAAGGCCGTGTCATCCTTAGGTCTATTGCTACTAGGAATAGTATTGGGTGCAATGGACTTCAGTGAGCAAGACACGGGAAACAACGCTACTGTTGGATTTGATTTGCATGCAACGCTGGAAGGGTAGGCTATCATGCTGGCACGTGGCCGGCCACGTTTAACATGGGCAGGCAACTGAATTGGAGTTCAGTCTGAAGTATTGCACTTCAATCCCGAGGACTGACCTTCAGTACTCCCGGATCCAAGATTCAAGATTCCAGGACAAAGTTTCCCGAGGATCTTTGATGTTGAATCCGGGAGTATTGCAGTTCAATCCTCGGGATTTCAAGTTCAATACTCGGATTCTTCGTGACCGCTCCCAGTGCCCTACTGTAAACACATGCGTCAGTGCTGTAAACACGTGCGCGGGCTTGTGTTCAATCATCTGTTGTTCCGTTTTAGTACTGCGCACATATTATGGGGCTACAATAGACACGTACAGAGTTGTCTTTTAGTGAGTTTGTGACGGCAACAATATAAACAACAATAACGACACTAATTAGCAAAGAACGACAATAGCACTAGTGCTCCTAAACCTTGGAGTAAGCTGGACGACTGAGCGGGGGGGGTACCATAAGTATGTGTGTGTGTATATATATATATATACACATACATCTATGTTTGAGCCCGCCCAAACCAAACCAAGCCAAGTCAGCATCAGAACTCTTAATGGCTTTTCTAATAGAAGACCCTGCTCGACAGACGATGCAATGTAGCAAAAAACATATGTAACAACATACCCTGCTACTACGTATACTACGTAACAATGGATCCTAAACGATCAGCAAAAGATTCTAGATACTAGACCCATACACATACGCGTACACACATGCAGAGAGAGGGAAAAAGGGAGGGGAGAGAGAGAGAGAGAGAGAGTGAGAGGGAGGGAGGGAGAGGGAGAGGGAGAGAGCGGGAGAGAGGTACAGAATGATGATGATGATGATGATGATGATGATATATATATGTATATATATATATATATATCTATGTATACAAAATGTACATAATATAATATTATATATAATATATAGATTTTTATATATATGGCACTCGGAAACCCAGTTTTGCACCTGGTTCCAACCCCGAAGACTCGAGATTAGCTGAGGACTCATTAGCCTCGGTGAAACGAGGACATGGCTGGGCCTCGTCGAGGTCCACTGCGAGCTCTTTGCCAGCAGCAGCGACGTTGTCCTAATTGCCAGCGCGAGCTTTAGATTACAAGGTTTAAGGGGACAAGGCGCTCTGGATGGGCAAATGAGCCAGGCCGGTACACATTTTTACGAACTGGCATGCGGACTCAGAAATCTAGGATACCATGCAGTTGCGAGGAATGCTTCACACAAAAACATCCAAAAGCCTTGAACGACCTTTAATCGGAGAAAGCATGGCGCACAATCTGGGGCATGCTTCTCTTTGCACTTGAAGCAGAAACTGACCCTGGCCTGAAGGCGTCATTGTGCGACCGAAGTGTCATACCAGGCATCTGGATCCGTTACAGGCAGTACAAATTTGGACTGGGGAAATGCCTCCATGACCTGGTCGGGGGCGCTGATCGAAAGCGGAATTTCTTTCGGAAACCGATGGACGGGCAAACGAGGAAAACGTGAACAAAGGGAACAATCTGATTTTGGGGTTCTCGGCCTGTTGATTCACTGAGACAGGTACGAGTAAAGGGAGCCACAAGCAACGGCCTCAAGAACCAACCGTACTTTAGATTAGCAAAACCCTCCGCCCCCCTTCACACCAAGTCTCGACATATACGTGCATGTATGTGTCTATGTACAGATATACATATATACATACATGTGTATATATATATGTATATGTGTGTGAGACTGTGTGGGTATGTGCGCTCGCACTCCCCCGAAACCTACCGACGCAAACTTTGCTGGTCAATCTGACCTAATTTTGAACCTGCCCATAACCTCACTCATTCCTTGCATTCCCGAGAAGTGCAGTGTGCAAATATTCCTCGGCTCAACTTCTTGCATGAAACATTTCTCTGCCTCTATGTCGTCGTTCTACGCGGTAATGCTGTACAGCTGCACACGTAGGCCTTCTAAACCCTTTTTTGAAGCAGGGCTCTGTAACTATGCCTGCTTGCCATCTAGAACTTCCAGCACATCATGCTCAAGCGGCTCAACCGCTAATCCAAAACATTCTCTGCAGGCTCTCAAATATGCATATGCATAAACACATATACACATACGTACACATATACGTATGCATACACACATACAGACACACAGACACAAACACACACAC